TTTACATAGTTATCGATCGAACTAATCATAATGGTATTATCGATATCAACTGCAATATCTGCAGTATGTCGGTATTGCAGATAAAGTTCGATAAACAAATTTGTAAATTAAAATCCATATTAATAAAAATCTAAAAAAAAAATATGCAAGAAAATTTTAGCATATATTTTGAAAAGAGGGAAGGAGGGGAGGGCCCAAAAACGGCTATGCCTAGGGCCTACGAACGGTATAATCCGGCTTTGCCTGTTATAGATTGTCTTTAGCAAACCACAAGTATGAGGTCATCTTTGTTCTTATTGCAACCTCCTCCTAGCCTTAGGCTAGTAGTCAGGCGAGGCTAGTTCATATTAATATGTTTTTATTTTGAACATTAATGTGTATTGTCTGATATGAATTAAATAGTTAAATATCTGTTTTCCATTTTTGAATAGGCGTACAGACTCTTGTTCACTGTTACCATTTTAATTCATGCAGGATTTTTTTAAAAATCTTTTCTCTATGTGAGAGAAGTAATCTAAATCCTGATCACTTTTGCCATTTTCTTTTCTTATAGTCTGCTAAATATATTTTACATTAACTTAAATCATGTGTAAATTTTCGTCTTTTACTCTTGCTGAAGTCATCAGACTCTTCTTTTACCATTTTAATGCATATAAAAGTTGTTTTTTTAAAAAAAAAATTTTCTTTGTGAGTGGAGTAGTCTAAATCCTGATCACTTTTACCATTGTAATATATTTTAATATTTTCTAATTATATTTTCCATAAACATAATTTGTGTGAATTTTATTTTTATTTTGTAGAAAGTAATTTACCTCATCTTTGATTTCACCACCTTCCTGTTTTCAGTTAACTCAATTAATATTTTGGTATTTTCTTCTTCTAATAAAGGTGTATGCTCTTTCTTGTTTTCTAATTTTATTTTCAGAAAATTTAAGTAATATTATTTTCTCTCTCTTTTAATTAGGGTGAGTGAAGTGATTCGACTCATGTTTGCGCTTGCCATTTTCCTGTCGTATGCTCTGCAATTATATGTGCCTTTGTCAATTATTTGGCCATTCTTGAAAAGAAAATTCCAAATTGAAGAGAGATTTTCTCCCAGGGAACAAAATATTTTTGAATATGCTCTTCGTACTCTACTAGTTTTCATTACCTGTAAGTATAAGTACCAAATCTTTTAAACAAAAAGAACTCATTTTTCTAAGTTTAAATAAATAATGTTAAATAACAGTTCAGCATCCTCCAGAAATAACAGAGACTTGTTGCTAAAAAACTATTTAAGTAAACAACTTCAATTATCATGTGAAACTTTTGTGATAACTAAAATTTAAAAAACGAAATCAAAATGAAATTTGAATCATTTTAATTGATTAGTTTTTTTCTCTCAAAATTTGCTCATTATAAGTAAAGAAGTATTGTTATTCAATTTGTTGTTTATAAGTATATTCAAAATTTTTAGATCTTGCACAAATATGACAAATCTAGAAACATGAGCTAATTTGTGTTAACTATGCTGAAATTTTCTTAAAAGGGAAGATGTTTAGCTTTTAATTTTTTATGCATATGTTTTATTATTTTAAAATTAATTATTTATAACTATTTATTGTGTTTTCTTGAAAATGCTTTTATATAAGTATTAGATTTGTGAAAATGCTCGAAGTTTTGGAGTTTAATTTAGTTTTTAATAACTCAGTGTTTCACAGCATTCACATACTCTTTACTGTTTTCTTACAATTGATATTTGATAATGTTTATTCAATATTGTATTGAAACTGATTGATATTGCAATATTTGCAGTTCTAATGGCTATCGCTATCCCTAATTTGGATTTGCTAATCTCATTGGTGGGTGCTTTGGCCAGTAGTTCATTAGCTCTCATTTTTCCACCAATCATTGAACTGGTAACTGTCTGGAATAATAATATGAGTGAGTATGATAATTGACTTGTTTCATGGATCATGTATAACATTTTAAAAAATAATTTCTTTGTTCTTCTTCACTCCCTGATAATTACAATTTTATTTTTGTCACATTGTATAAATAACCCTGTTTAAAGGTATTCAATGTCAAAATTTAATTCGTGAAGCAGGGTGCTTAGCGTTTTTAAAAAGTGGTTAATGGTGCTTATTTTCGTTTTTTAAAAGCCCTTAAAGGTGCTTTTTTTCATTTGGGTGTTTTTAAAAAGTGCTTAAAGTGCCCTTTTTCAAAATGAGATTTTACCATGTTGATTTCCACTACGAATTATGCAAAAAGACACAGTTCACATTGTTCTCTTCAACGTTTTCACAATTAATTCAACCCCACTCTATTTCAATATATTGTCAGTCTGTAGTGTATGAAAATGCCATTAGTTTTACGTGACTCAAAATTTCATGATTTTTGACAACTGTCAAAAGGTATTCTTTATTTTTTTTGACATGATAGTTACAACAAAATAAAACTATCAATTGTCAAAAACTTTCCTACTCTGCCTAATGATGATATTTTTTTAAAGTACTTAAAAATATTTTTTAAGTGCTTAAAAGGTGCTTATTTTTTGTTGAATAATTTGGCTATGCACCCTGGTGAAATGACCGAGTGTTAAAAATATAATCTATCGTGTACAAATTTATTAATTTTTTTTAAAAAAAAGAAAAGAAACTCTCAATTAACCAAAACCTAATTATCGAATTTTATTGTACTAATGTACAAAATAAGACATAAAAACTTACTTTCTGTGATTGAAAAAAAATTTTTTTTGTGTTGAATTGGAGTTCAGGTTTCTATAGGGTGTAACTACTATCTGGAAATAATTGTTCTAATAAGTCAAAAGTCCCTATTGTTATTTTCACTTTTCTGCATTTTGCTATGCCTTCTTGATGATTTGTATGAATCAAAAAGAAAAAAAATTTTAAAATTGTGAAATTCAATTCTTCACAAACACTTTCATACAAAATATGATTTTTATGTTTTTATTTTATTGATGGTGTGAAAAGCTTTTAATTATAAGGCAATATAATCTTTAAATTATTTTTTACTATGTTTCTAAATATCAACAAAATTGCCCAAATAGTGTCTGAGTAATGAATCTTAAAAACATTGGAATTTCTATTTTGAAAGAATTAGTCAGTGTATTTCTTAGGTAGTTTTCAATAATATGAACTGTTTAAAACTATGTAAATATTTGTGTACTTTCAACAATTTGTCAACCAATATTAAAGCAACTATTAAAAGTAATAGAAAAATTATTTTTGCTTGTAGTTATCTCTTGATAAATAAGTTTTGCAATTGTGTTCAATAATTTTTTGGACACCCTTGAACAGTTCTAAAGTTTCGCCAAATATACAGTAAGATAAATTAACTTTAACGAAATTAACTTTTTCAAAGTTCTTTCAGCTAAATTGTTGGCACCATATTGTGCAGATTCAAGCTACTTCGTAACATTTTGTGGTTGAAATTTCAAATACTGTATGAAAAAGGGTATTTTTATTCTGGGAAGGAATGTTTTGATGTCTGATTTCTTCATGTAAAACATCTTCTGCAGTAAACGATGTGCATTATCAAATTCCTTTGCATTATTTCAAATTATTGAAATGGCATATATTAGTTTGTCAAATTCTTATCATTCTCGCATTTTATTTCCCATTCTATACATTAACCAGTACAATCTTAGCTTTTAGTATCTAATAAAAAAGAATATATTATTTAGAAACAATGAACTCTTGATTATCCGCTAAAGTATGTGAATAATAATTATAATCTAAGAATATTACCAGAAGTGTACTAGCACATTTTTTCATTTGTATATTAGTTCTTTTTTAAAAATATTTTGTCATTGTGAAAAAGCTCTTTTTTTTACAAAAATATGTAACACAGTTTTCCAAAACTGCCATTTATAAGTATTTTTTAAATCCTCATTAAAATGAAATTTTATGAAAAAAAAATACTCACATCAGTTTACAATTAAAGAAGAAAGAAAAAACTATTAAAATCTGACACTTCTATTAAGGTAATAAAAACATCCAAACCTGTATAATTACTCAACTAAAACAAAATCTAAAGGTTTTTGTAATAATCTTCTTTCAATTTTTCTCTTTTTTTTTTTTTTTTTTTTTTTTTTTTTTTTTTTTTTTTTNCCCCCCTTTTTTTTTTTTTTTTTTTTTTTTTTTTTTTTCTTCACTTAAATATTAATTTGCTGTTTCTACTTAGTATATTTTTTACTTAATTTTTACAAGAACTCAAAAAATGCATTATGAAAATCTTGAGCAGAAAACATATCACAGCATTAAATCTGTCCCTTACAAAAGGTTTCTGAACAATGCATGGGGAAACATAATTTAACAAAGACGTAAATTATTAAAGAATCGAATCTTAAACAGACATAATGTTGTGAAAAAGAATCTCATACAGGCAAAATATCGTAGAGCAGAATCAAGACCAAATTGAATAATGAGAGGTTGATTCTGTCACCGCAAAAATATTAAGAACCTATGAACAAGCTATTAACAGCATAAGTAGCATCAATTTCAGCTTGCTATAATTTTTTTAGATTTCAGCTATATAATTAGTAAAAAGGTTAGATTGCAACAGCTGAAACTCCCTAAATCCAATTATAAGTTGCTGCATTATTTTATTATTTTATTTATTTATTATTTTTTTTTCAATACAGGTTTGTAATTGTAATCTATAGTTGCTAGGTGTTTTTTAGTAATTTGTTTATTAGAGCAGAATCATACTAGATTGAATAATGTGAGGTTGACTCTGTCATCACTAAAATATTATGAATCTATGAACAGTTACTAAGGGCAAATACAAATTTGTACTTGCTATAGTTTGATTCCAACTAGTTAATTAGTGTATAGGTTAGATTCCTATGTCTTTTTATTTATAAATTTTGATAAACATCTATATGTTGAAATATTTCTAATTGTAAATTATTGAATGCATATTTCTTATTCCAGGCAGGAAACAGCTGACTTTGATTATCATAAAAGATGCTGCCATCATAACATTTGGAATATTTGGATGTGTTATCGGTACATACACAGCAATTAGAGAAATCGTGGACAAAATTTTGGGGAACTCGTGATATCTCTTCAATGTTGAAAGACTGCTGTCATCCCTACATGTGACCGAGTTACACCAATTGGGTATTGATGGTGGTTTAACGAATGCTTATAGTTTTTAGTCTATTGTGACAAAGTATTGCTAATTCTGCATTACTTTTCATTTTAAACCGTGTAGAGTACATTTATGGATTTGCTAAATGTGTTAGACAGCAGTAAAAATCAATCGTTCATAGTAGCTGTTCAAAAGAAAATGTTATTTTTTATTTTCTATCTGATTTATGTGATACTGTTTGAAAAATTATTCTCAACATTTTAGACTATTGGTATTTGTTAGTAGAATATAATTACAGAGGCACCAAGCCTTATTTACATTCCTAATAAATAGCTATGCAATATACTTCTTTAAAATTAAGGCATATTATATATTTTATAATTAATTTAGTATTTGTGTTTTTATATTTAGGAAAAGAAATATGAATGGGAAGAACTGTTTCAAAAATTTAATTAGTATTCAAAAATTATTTAATTTAAAGTGGCCTGTCTTTCTGCAAAAGACATTGTTTTATGATTTTATTTAGTTATCAGCCCCATCTATTGATAAGCTTAGTAACTATTTTTGGAAATTGATTAGAACAAATCTAGTTACCTAAGCTGAAGGCTGCAAATCTTTCGTTCTTTTATTTTTCAAATTGTTGTTTTGAAATGCTTTGTAAATTTTAATGTTAAAAAAATCATAATTTTTTTAAAAATTTAGTTAGAGGGATATTTCTATTTTATGAATGAACTTTTAATATAAAAAAAAGAAGAGAAACACTTGACCTATGCTCTTAAAAATTGTTATTTATTTTATGCGTTTTAATTTTTTCATGTGACAGAATTGTTTAAAGTATTTTCAATTTTATTAATTTTCAAATTTGTTCAGCATGACTTTTAACTACTTAGTTTTAACTAGTTAGGTTTAACTAAATTAGGCTTAGTTGCTGGAGAACTTAAGTATTTCTGTATTCATTTTAATGTTGATTTTATAGTTTTTGAAAATATATTTTATAATTATTATTTTTTAAATAAATAGTAATCTATAAAGTATATTTTTATTTTCTAATTTCATTTGGGCAAAAAATGAATACAAATGAATAAGAGAAAGGAATGAAAATTTTTAAACATATACTAGCATTAAATTGTGTTATGTGATTTTTAAATTTTCTTTATCCATCTTTAAAATTTCAAGAAAGCTATTTGGGTGCAATACTTTTTTAAATATACCCTTACATACTTGTAAAAATTTTTTTTAAAGACTGCTGGCTATGAATAAATTATGAAACGTTGATAGCCAATTTTTTTTATCACAAATTAAAAATTATTAATGTGAGTTATTTTTATGTATAAAAATACCAATTTTAATTTTAAGACCCAGTATATAAAACTTAATAAATCTTAACCAGTTGGCGCATCTCAGCTAATTATCATCAATTTAAAGGGTATTTAATAAATATAATGATTGTATGCTAGTTTACTTTCTTAATGATGTTTATAAAAAGTCTGTATCAACAGTTTTGCGTTTACCTGTGATAATACAATATTAAAGAATGTGTATACCACATTATAACTATTCTTCTATATACTCTGTAAAGTTTCAAAGCTTAATTTTATTCATAATATTTCTCTTATTAAAAGTGTCAAATTTTAGGTAGTAAATTTTTGAAAATAATTTTGTTCTAGAAAATAAGAAAATAATTTGGATTGAGGTTTAATAAGGTAAACTTTTTTCTCTAAAAAATTGAATTAGTGAAATTTTATTTTTGATAATATTTTAGATTAGTAAATTGAAATAAAATAAGATAATTTCTTTTATACTTAAATGTCTTAGAAAATCAAATTGTTAGTGGAAAAAGAATTGTGCAACAACTTTATTGCTATAATATTGTACTAAATATGTTAGTTAAATTAAACACCAAACTTATCTCAAGTTTTAAGGTATCTCCAAAAATCTAAATTTTATGTGACGTGTCATAGGACTTTTAGAAATTTAGTGGTTTTAGTCTTTAATTCAAAAGAAGCTTATTGTTGCATTGCTCTGACTGCATTTATTTATTGTTTTAAATGTCAGTTACAGTACATTTTATAGAAAGAAAGCATGGAGTGCAGCTGTATCATTGGTTAAAATAGGTTTTTTTTTTAACAAAAAAAATCTCATATATTACAATGGGCTTAAATTTCTTTTTTTTTTTTTACCAAAATGCAAAATGAAGAAAAATATTATTTTGAATATATAATCTGACCATAAAAATAACTTTGCAGCATGTTCTGAAGTAAATTCTTCTATGAGACATGGTGCAAACATTTGTTATTGTATCACTATAACAAGTATAATAAATCCATAAAAATTTGATTAAAAAACTAAATATATGAATATTTTTTATTTAAATGTAAATTAAATCAAACAAATTTTATTAATTTTTGCTATTGAATTCATTAACAGAGGGTGAAGCTACCTGAGAAAAACTATAAAAATTACCACATACAGGAACAATAATAAGTCTGTAACTGTTTCATGTGAAATGGTGTGACATGTAACAGATTTATGACATGTCCCTTAGCTTTTTTCAGTCAATAGGACAGCCATCTGTTGACTAACTTAGTAACTAATTTTGAATTTGATTAGAATAAACATTCCAAAGTAGCAAACCATGCATTTCTCTTCCCTTTTTTTAAAAAATGATTATTATTAACAATAATGTAACCTTATGAAAATTTTGACCAATGGTAACTAGATAATCAGCCATACTCTTTATTTTGTATAATTGAAAATTTTAATTATTCTACTGTTATTGGTATCAGAATAGCTAAGCCAAACTGAAAACAGTATATACTCTCCCTTCACACATGTCAATTCAATTTTAAGAATTTTCATAAGATTTGTAAAAATTAGAAAATCATTGTAAAAATTAGCAAATAAAAATAAAGTGAAATTAAAATAGAATTTATGTTAAATTAAGAACTGAATTTCCTATCATATTCAATAAATAAAATTAATCAATATTACTTGATAATCTCCGAATCTATAAATGTCATATTTATTCCAAATGTAGCATCTGTCTAATAACTTTAGTTTGATGTCATTGCTTGCTGTGATGTGTAATCTTTCTCAATCCGTGTGATAATGTGTATCATATTTATGTTAAAACAAAAAATATTGCATTGATATATTATCTATATTAATGCAGTAAATAGTTTTACGATGTTACAAAAATTTTAATGTGATTATAATGTGAGAAATATATAAAAACAAAAATTGTAAAAACTTTCATTAATTACTGCTGAGCAGTTGCATAAGTTTTTAAGAAATATAGTTTTTGTATATATATGTGTATTTTTTGTGAAAATAATATTTGGTGCTGTTTTTTTATTGCATAATTGATGGCAGCTAAAAATAGCATGTGTATGATTGTATTAATTTTAATTTTGTTTCTTTTACTTTTCTGCTTATTTACCTATTAATATTGCAAATCAAAACTGCATAGTTTTTAATCAGTTTATTTATTATTAATTTTTATTCAATTAAATGTAATATCAATTAAATGTAATATCAATTCAATTAAAATACCAATTTGTATTTTTTTCTAATACATTTTTGATTATTAAAAGGATATTTTCCATGATTTTTTTTTTAAAAAATCTTTAATAAGTTATTTTATCATCGTTTCAAATTTTAACATTTTCATTTTGAATTAATGTGTTTTTTTGTAATAAAACTGGTATTTCATTATATTAATATGCATGAAATCATAACTTTTTAGTTTTATTAAATCCAACAAGTAATACTGTTTTTGTCATAATACTGTTATTCAACATTACTATGTAAGTACATTTCCAAACAATTACAATAGTTTATTGAATAAATGTTCAATCAATTTATGTGTTAAAACTGAAAATAATTTCATTATGTGGAAAGTTTTTTTTAACCAGTTCCATATTGTTTTTTTATTTTGCTAATGCAAAAATATCCCATGAATTAAATAACTGCCTATTTTATTTATTGTGTATATATATGTACATTGTCTGCTATTAACTTATGTTATGAAAGCCAGTGGAGGTTAATTTAATTTTGTTTTTTTAAATACTTTGCACAGTTGTATTCAAGCAACTGTGTATTTTGTGCTTCTGTGATTTTTTTTTAAAAGCTGTATGTAACCAAAATTATACATGTTGTGTATATTCTGTAAAGATAGCTTTCATTTGTAGTTAAATGTATATAAAGCATGCATTTTACAATATCTAAAAAAAAGAAAATAAAAAGTATAAATTTATTTTAATAACTTTCAATGATTTCAATAAACATTTCATTCTTCTCAAATTTCTGCCTTTGCATGATGGATAATTGTAATAACTCACTTTAAATCAACGTTCACTCTGTAAATTTTGTTTCTCTTATTTTTTATAAAAACGTAATAAGTATTTTAAATAAATTTCAACCAAACTATAAATAATAGAGTTTGTTTATTAAACCATATTTATAAAATATATAATAAACAAAACAATTACATTTTCACAAGTATTGTGATTTATATGAATTATACATATTTACATGGATGCATAAAATGTTTCATACAATCATGTCCATTGGCATACTTGTTAACAATACGATAAACTTTAAAATGTATTTTTTTTAAAAAAGCAATTTTTAATAATTCACAATATTGCCTTTTTTAAAATTTAAAATCATCACATACACAGGTTTGTTATGTAATCATATTTATTGTGTAATTTTAATAACCTTTATTTTTAAAAAGAAGTGAAAAAAAAGCTCTCTTTTTTTATCACTTATTAATATTTAATTGGAAAAAAATATATTCAAATCTTTCAAATTACTGGTAAGAAAGGTGGATTGAAATACATTAAAACCATTTGATTGCTTTTTGAAACTTGTAGGCATTTCTAATAATTACCTTTTAACTCCTCTCTGCTTTCTTCCAAATTTTTTAAGTGATAATTTGTTAGATTTATTTCAATATCATTTTTGTTCTTGCCTAAATTTTAATTTATGACCCCTTATTTATATATATTTCAGACTACATTTTTGACTAGAATTCTAAAAATATTTTACTTTAAATTATTATTTTTAGCACCTGGAACACCCTAGATAAATTGAGCAATTGTGGGCAGTTTTTTTTTTTTTTTGGTGGTCCAATTTTACCACTTGTTTTTGCTGTTTTTTTTAAAACTTTTAATGACTGTAATTTAATTTTAATTTTCAAGTCTTTTTCCAAAGAGAATGTGTTTTCTGAGAAAAACTTATACTCAGGTATGACAAGTAGCTAAAGAGAAAATGATATCTGAAAAAAAAAAACTTTTGCTAAGGTATAAAACGTTAACAAGTTACTGAACAGAATGCGTTTCCTGTGAAAAATTTCTTGTCAGGTATAAAAAGTTAACAAGTGGCTACGATAAAGTTTTTCCTGAGGAAAACTGTTGATTAGGTATAAAAAGTAGTCAAATTATTAAATAGAATATGTTTCCTGGCATGAACGTTTGATGACGTATAAAAAATTTCTCAAAGTGATTAAATTACTAAATCAAATGGGATTTTGAGAAAAACTTTTGTTCCGGTATAAAAAGTTACCAAATTGATTAAGTTGCTAAATCGTATGAGTTTCCTGAGAAAAACTATTAATCAGGTATAAAAAGTAATCAAATTATTAAATAGAATAAGATAAACTTTTAATCAGGTATAAACTTTTCTGAGATAATCTTTTGATTAGGTATAAAAAGTTACCCAAGTTGCTAAATCTAATGCGTTTCATGAGAAAAAAATATTAATCAGGTATAAAAAAGTAATCAAATTATTAAACAGAATATGTTTCCTGACATGAACTTTTGGTCAGGTATAAAAAATTATCCAAGTGATTACTTTACTAAATCGAATGTGTTTCCTGAGAAAAACTTTTGATCAGGTATAAAATAGTCTGTTTAAATCAACAATGTTAAAAGATTCTAATTTTTTAATTAACTCCAGAAAGATGTTTTCAGACTGCCGTACACTTGGCGAACAGGAACGCCATCATGGTCATTGCCAGTAAAATAAGGTAATGGGTACTTTGTAAATTCTTTCCTGCATTGCAGAGGTCACCATGGCAGAAGCACATGTAGACTGGTTTCCTGTCAATGACTGTGTCCGAACATCTTTCCTCACCATCTGCTGGGGGTCTCTGCACACACATGCGTTCTGTGGCTGTATCATAATCTAAAGCAGAAAATATAGCAGTTGGTAATAAACATAATTGTCCTAATTTTTTCGATTGAAACTTTTACTCATAAGTGTCAACTACAGAACTGATGAAAAATATCCCCAGAGGTCACATGATTACACTGGGGAACAAATTTTGTTGCATTTATACAAATAATTGATCATTTGGGTGTGGGAATTTCAAATCTGAAATTAGTTTTAAGCCTAAAGCTACAATTGTTTTTTAAAAACATATTTTTTGTCGTAATGTACAAGATTAAAACGCTATGTAACGCTTCTAGAGGATTTAGGGTACAGCATCATCAGGATTAAAGTTACATAAGAACCCATGCACAGAAATGTCACCATACGCCGCTAGGGGCACTTTCTTATTATGGAGTGCTGCATGTGCTTCTGAAAATGTCAAAATAGAAGAAGCTCCCCTAGCCGTGTAAGACTACATTTCCGAGCAGGGGTTCCTATGCGCAAGAATCGAAGCAAACTAAAAACAGACGGGTTAAGCCAGAGGTTGAAAGATGCGATTCGTATCTCAAAAAAGTTATTAATTATTCAGCAAAAACAAATTTACACATTTTTGTCTCGAAGACTATTTAAAATACGGTTACATAATTTAATCTAGTGCATAAGCCCCACGACCGGACCGGAAGCGCTACGTACGGAACTGATCTAATCGAGATACTAATCGCTTAGTCGTGTACCATAGATATTATTGAAAGTCATAGATGTACTACCTTCTTTTAGAAATGATTTCTTTTTCTTGAAAGAATTAAATCACCCAGCTCTTGTCAAAGACGCTGGATCGATTAGAGTCTGGAGAAATGGAGTGCACATGTCAACTCAATGGAAAATTTAGAAATATTAGAATTTCAGTGATAAAGTAGCAAACGTTTCTATTTTATATGACAATTTCAGAAAATTATGCATGCAATTCACGTGTGATGTTGTCAAAGCCGCACTCAAGGAGAGGGGTCACAATTGTCTCTGAGCCCGGGACTGCTGAGGATCCGACCATCTCACCAAAAATATAGTACTAATTAATTAGCCTCTTTTTTCTGTTGAGAAAATTGCAGAGAATTTTTTTTATATTTATATGAAAACTACAATTTTGTATAAAAGGTCTCAAATTCTACAAAAAATAAAAACAAGGCTTTTTGTGCTTGAGGAAGATGTTCCGCAAGAAATTTTGTCCTCCGGGCCAATAAAATCTTGTTCAGCCTTGGATGTGGTTATCTTCCTCCTCAGCACTGCAGTTTTCGTGGGCAGAGCTTAGACTGATATCAGTAGGGAGGGAAAAAAAATCGGATAGGACCTGGTCTTACCCCGAGAGCAGAGGTTATCGAAACGTAACAGAACAATGCAATTATTGACCCCAATCCTTATTGCTTAAGATATGAATAGTTAGAAAACGTATCTACAACAAGTTGAACAAAAAATAATTTTTGTAACTGTAACGACCAATAAATCAGGCTAGTTCAAAAATAAAGGAACGTAAAAAAAAGTTGACTTAGTAAAGCAAACTTATCTATGCAGGTGTCGCAAATTACTCAATAACCACATGCCGCATTCTGGTAGACTCTTTTTCTTGATTAGTTAAGTGTAATACAGAGTGTGTTCACTAGAAAACAACTAATTTTGCCATAATCGAGCTACCCGGTCTCACCCCACTACCACGTCTCTTTCTTTACGCTCTCATATTCACAAAATACGCTTTTTGACCAGTTTTACTCACGATGTGTCTAGCGCACTCAAAATTATGTTTCGTGTTTGTGATCATAAATTTATTTTATGATTTTTACTTGTTGTCATATCCCTCACCTGCGATGGCTCAGGGGATAGAGTAGCCGTCTGCCAATAAGGCGGCCCAGCTTCGAATCCTAGCAATGGTCGGTCGATTAGAATTACTGATGGCATAAAATATCCCCAGTGGTAAAAAAAAGATGTGCTAGAATTCCCTTTCCGTCACGCTAACCAATGGAGATTTCCATGGTTTTCTTCTCCATGTAATGCATATGCGGGTTAGTTCCATCAAAAAAGTACACGACAAAATCCAGGTTGACCCAATTCTCGATCGAAGAAATCTGTTGTCATCTGGGTTGGGTTCAAGGCTGCGCAGTAGAACATTGATTGTCGTAAATTCAAAAATGGTTCGACTATTCTACGCCAGTAATAAAATAAAGGGTGGTGATTACAAAATAGAGTAACTAAACTTGTATAGAGGTAACTAAACTTGTTTTGACATACCACTGTTTTCACCTTCAATGATTTTGGCACACCATCCTGATGCACAAGGGAGTGCTTCTACGCCTTTTACATCTTCTACCATGGTTGCATTGAGTTCAAAAGGATCTTTACAGTCTCCTAGATCTCCTCTTGATCTGCAATTATAACACCTTTTAAAACGACCTACAATGGAGAAAAAAAACATTAAAATCGTATAATATGCAATATTTATAACTTTTGAGAATTTGTAACAGTTGTTCGTGACTGTAGATTGTAGCCAGCGCCATCTATGCTAATTATTATGAAAATGGCGCAAAATAACACTATGAAGAAAGCCGTCATTTTGTGAAAATAAAAAGCGTTTTTGATCTAAATTTTTAAATACATTTAAGGGTTGCAATAATTGAGAATTATTCATTGATTTCAATAATTTTCTGGTAGATTGAAAAATCTCGCCAAATTAAAGACTTTAAAAAAGAATTAAATATTTTACAAATTTTTTTGAAGCTCTGTCACCGAAGAAAATAAAAAAACCTCAGTTTGAGTGCCTTACAATTGAAGCAAAGTGATTATTTTAAACTATATATATCATCTTGTCGTGAAGAATTATCTGGGCTTTAGAACGGACAAGTAGGCTGGGATAGCCTTGTTGGCAGGGGGCTGGACTCAGTTCGAATCCAATCGGCCGAAGACTCCCGTATAGTAAATGGTGACTGATGCACGTTAAATCTGTCTGGTCACAAAGTCCGCCATGTCCCCATAACAAATTATACCACTAGGGTAATGAAATGGAGATTGTTCTCTGGTTCAAGTCAAAATTACGATCTGTTCATGAATGACTGGATGTAGGAATGGGTCCGCTCTATAAACGGGTGTGACGTATGGCTCTGGTAGAAGTCGAATTCTTATCCCTAGATGGCGCCACTGAAAAACATGAACAATCGCACCCCTTGCCTTAATGGCCTACGACAATAGCAACAGAACGGACAACTAACTTAAATATTTTAAAAGTTATTAAACCTTTTTTAAAAATCGCTAATTTGACGACATTTTCCACCTAGATGAAAATGATCAAATTCACTACCTTATTCTCATATTTTGCAATTTTTCAAGAGCACAGATAATGAAGTATTGGAGTAAATATTAAAAAAATTAGACCTCTAACGCTTTTTATGTTCACAAAAGTGTGGCTTTTCTCCGCATTGACGTTTTGTGCCATTTCCAGAATAAGCATTGACAGCGCTGGCTTTGGATAGGTTAAACTAGTCTTTACAGTTAACTGTAACAAACTCACAGCAGTTTTGAAAATAGCATATTATTTGCGAAAAAGCATCATTTCATATCACGACGGAGCCTTCGAAACGCATATAATTCATTACGGCAACATATTATGAACTGGATTTTCATATTTTTCCTCAGCGGAAGAGCTACGAAAAAAAGCCCCTAGATAACTTAACATGGTACTTGGGGATAATCCCGTCGACCATTTTCGTAAAACACGATATCATCGGCAAAAGATAGCTTCTGCGCCACCTATTATCATTATTTTATTATTATTATTTTTTGATTAATTTAATGAGTTTCGAATGTTTAATTTGGAAATTGATTCTCATTATGATGGCGCCAAAGGATTTGCGAATTTTCACAAGCGATGACAGGTCGACGGGATAATCCCAAAGTACCCAACATTCATCTCATAGTTAAGCGAATTAAAGATGTTCCCATTTCGCTCATACTGTACCACACTCACAGCACCCAGTAAAATGAGCTGTCTGAAAGTAAAAAGCATGACCGTACACTTGTTACTTTTCGATATTTGCTGTAATTGTCGTCGAACAGTCGAATGTTTAGTTCCATTAGAATAAACATTGAAGATATTTTCAATATTGAAAAGCCCGGAGGGGAAACACGACTAAAAAATGCGGAGAACAAAGCAGAATTTGCACTTTCTGTCCATCTAAGATACGCAGAATGACGAAATACGTATGCAACTAATGCAGCAAGGCTATTGGTGGAGAGAACGCTTGCAACATCAGCCAAAAGTGCAACCGATAATTTTTACCATGTTTTTATTTTTTGATTGAAATCTTAAACTTTTTTTTAAAAATTACGTTATTTGTTTGAAATAAATACACAAAATATAAAATAAACTTCTTTTTAATATTAATCGAATGATTAGTTACAGATTAACGATTGGGTGCTTGCACTTCAAGAAGAGGAAGATCACGGATACCCAAACATGTGACCTATGACGTCATCACTAACTGATCGCTTATAAGCAAAATAGCGTATTAAAGTTGAGCTTAGTTTTTCCACAGAAATTAGATTGTTAATTAACGTAAAATTAATTAATCACAGTACGGTATCGCACATCGAATTCGATAAAATATAATTCTTTCTCGTCTACGTCTTTTACTTAGATTTATTTATTTTATTGTAACCGTGATATATCTTTGTATACCAGACAACTTCGATGCATAATTAGTTTGTTAATTTTCTTCGTGGCTGTTTTTGTATTAAGTATGAAATATATCGTGAAGGAGTTGAATCTTTGCAATACAATCTTTGTGAAAGAATATAGAATGTGTTCCATAAAAGAATTGATACTTAAAGGGCTTAGCTTACTCGAAATAGAATGGAAAGAACTACTGCTAACGTAGACAAATGCCATGTTTCAACAAACAATCAGGATCGAGATACCCACACAACGTCATTTGCAGGTGTCCCGTTAACACTGATTTAAGTTTAGATTCTAGGGTTATTAAGAGTATAAAACGTTGGGCATATGAAACTTCAATTCACGGGCGTCGTAGGCATCCCCTTTTTGATTGGAACAAAATTCAAATATAGTCACAATAGCTCTCTTTTACTTATAGAATATTATTTTATTAATAAAGTTCATAATAATGTTTAATGATAGTAGTTTGTAGTTCATGTTTGTAGTTCATATAGTTCATGTTAGCAGTTCATGTAGTTCATGTTAGTAGTTCATATAGTTCATGTTAGTTCATGTTATTTTATTAAGTATGTAGCATGTTATTATCTATCCTTTTTAATATAGCATAGTCAAAAACTGTTATTTATATCTTTTATAATCTATGTAACAAATATGTATTCTTGTAAATAAATATTTATGGGCATACGTAACATATTTATATATTTTTTAAACTTACGTAACAGTATTAATCTATTTAATTTTAATTATGTGCATACGTAACATAATAATGTTACGTACATTCGTAATAAAATTTATGAACGTAACGTAACTTAACGAGAAACTTATCATTATTTATATTATTAGCCTTTATTATTATCATTACCTTGTTATGAATTTAAACCGACAATTTTAATTAGGAGTAATAGGTAATTTGTGATAAATAGCGCCGGATCCCATAGGCGTATCCATTTTCGTAGTTTTTCTTTAGCTTCACATAAATATCATACAATTCCTTTACATATTCTGTCTATTCAATCATTCAGACTCACACGAAATACCAACTGTAACGATTTTTGTTCTTTTATTAAAAAAAATGGAGAAAAAAAATTGTCTGCCGAAATGTGAAAGGAAATCCAAAGAAAAGCGATTGGAAAACCTATGTGCAATCGAATTCCGTAACATATCACGCTATCTTCATAGAAGATGGACGTATCTGCCACTCTCTAAATAATTCAAGATGTTAAGTCACTTTCGATAATAAAAGGAGAAACAAAGGGATTTATTATTTAGCATCGAGATTTGACGATCAATGCTAGGATACGACCCAGTTACTAGAAATAAACATTACCTAGAAATCTGAATTGGATATAGAGCGATTAATAAATCCACTTAATTTTCCCTTTCATCGTCTGCCGTTTATTTGTTTATGCGGGCTGAGTTGTTTGACCTTCGAATAATGTCGATGTGGAAACTACTTTTGCTCATAAGGTTTCTCTTTTTCTAAATGCACTATATCGAACTTGATTTGAGATATGAAAAACAATAATAACGATATAATGAAAGTTACTTGAAATAAACAATATTATCGATAAATTTGATTTGATATAAAGTTTTAAATATATCACTAAGTTTTCATTTTATCGTCTGCCATTTATTTGCTTATGCAGGCTGAGTTGTATGACATTCGAATAATGTCGACGTGGAAACTACTTTTGCTCATAAATTTTTCTTTTTCTAAATGCACTTATATCGAACTTGTTTCGAGAAAAGAAAAATAATAATAACGATGGAATGAAAGTTACATGAAATAAACAATATTATCGATAAATTTGATTTGATATAAAGTGATAAATACATCATTAAATTTTCATTTTATCGCCTGCTGAGTATTTGAATTTCAGACCTTTATTTTACTTTCAGCGAATGAACTAAATTGCATTTGTTGGTCACAAAATAAAAGTCTAATGTAAATTATCTCAACAAAACAAATTTACTTTTACTGCGATTCGTATGTTACACCGAAATATCCAAAATACCATTAAAACCTATTATTTCTCCAAGATTAGTTTGAAATTTACATAAAGTGAGACGAGTAACTCATTTACATAAGTAAGACTACGTGACGACAAAAATAAATAAATAAAAATCCCAATACTCCTACTTAATCGAATTTCGATATCAGAATATTCTCTTGACGTCTCTCTGGAATTGTACAAATTATAATATTGTTTCATCAAATAGTTTTTGAGTTATGGCAGTAAAAAGCACGCCCGGCAAAAATTTTCTAAAAGAGCTGTGACGGAAGAGAAAACTTTATTTTTTAATATAGAGAGAAAATGTTCTGTTGCATAAATAACTAAACTCATAAATGAAATATGCAAATATTATATGTACATCAGATGGTAAAATAAATAATTATTTTTTCACACTGACAGTAATATGACAGTAGTATGACCTGCAATAATTTAATTTTGTTAAAAAAAAAAGTGAGAAATTTCAAACATTGTTTAATTCCAAAATATACACATGCTTTACCTATTAATTTTGAGACAAATTAATAATTTTGTTTTCTTGATTATAAACAGATTGTACAAAAAGTACAAATTTGTATTTATATCTTTACGCTTCTGATATTGCTATCTAAACAAGGGATACACTGCTTCTTGTGTATTTAATTAAATCGAATGAGACCATACATAAATCAACTATACCAATAGTCCAAAAGTGGTAAGAGTTTTTATATATAAAATGACTTTTTACACGTAAAATTATCTTTTGAGACGTTCTTATGTATTTGTTACCGTTAAAGTGTATAATTCTGTTATTTCATAGTATAACTAGGTTTTTCATGAAATAACTAGGCAAAGCAAGTAAAATATATAATAGATGAAAAATATCATATACTTTATCTAGTTATTCTTAGACTAGCTCTAAATAAAATTAAATTATTAAAAATTTCTGCACCGTATGAAGTGTATTTAAATAACGTCTGTGTTAAACTCCTATATTAAATACCAGTAAAAAATTTCTAAACAGTTAAATTTTAGATAAGTTATAGAAATTCGAAAAAAGCATTACATTTATGATTTTTTAATGAAATGAAGACCACCTCGACCCGCTAACGATAACAATTCATATCGATTACGATAATATTACGATCACTATTGAAATCTATAATTATCAAAATACGATAATATTAGGAACCTTACCGACGATATAATATATTTAAAGTGAACAATATATATTGACTTTTAATTACAATAGTTATACAATACGGTATTATTGTGAGTGTTAACTAATTTAACGAAAGTATTGATCAATGTAAAAGTAATATAAATGAGTTAAATTGGAAAATTATCACGATGTAATGTTACATATCGATGGAGTTTGACAATTTAACGGGATATTCAATTCTCGCCTATAGGTTACACAGACTATTGTTCATGCTGGCTACAGTTCATTAAAAAGTAGCCAACACATGGTCCATAGAACCGGCAATTACTCCACAAATTCATTAAATAATTTCAAATCAGTTTAAAATTATTATATTTAATTTTTATTTCTTATTTTGAAGGTCAGTGCCATCTTGAACATAAAAAATAGAAGCACTTGCAATGTCTGAAAGAAATAGAAAAAAGAATAAAACATTAAAAAAAAAACTCACCTTCTACACTTGTTAAATAAATTATTCCAAATATGACAGCTAAAGTTGTCGCAACCTTCATATTAACAGCCATCCTGCATTAACAAAATTTTGGAAAGAACACGAAGTACAAATGGAATTTTTCAAATCCAGTTCATCGTTTATCTCAAACATCAATTTTTTTTCACTGGAATCAACAATTTCTTTTTAGTGTCCCTGAAAAGAATTAACCGTTGAAAAATAACATTTAGCTGAGAGTATAGCTATTTCTTTACTTGATGACAATGAGAAGCGGCTACTGAAGTATGACTTTTTAGAATATTCGCCAAGGAGTTGGATTTTTTAGAACTAGGACAGCCACTTTCAAAAGAACCGGTTCCACACGTGGTTATTTTATTTGAGTGGGTGACCCATTTATGGTTAAATCATAATCTTTTGTTTCACTTTTATTTTGAATTTATTATTTTACTTTTATATTTTGATCGAAGAATGTTTTGAAATTTGAAACTGTATTTCAGACGATTTTGTTTTTCTTTGTGTTAGAATATCGTCTGAGAAAATGAGAAATAATTGTTTGGCTTGGAATCTAATTTTAATGCTAACTGATTTGTTTCAAAAATTAGAAATATGGCGTTTGAATAAATCCTAAGGAATGGTTTTACATATTTATTTATTTCAAGTTGGGAAAAAAATCTGTATATGCTAACTTCATTTTCAGAAACAGAATGTTGTCAGGTCCGGCCCGAGGATAAGGCAATCGCCTCCGTCGCCTTTAAACAGTTCTTTAACCTCATTTATTTGTGAGTAATGATTAAATAACTAAATTCTCTGTTCAATTTACGTTTGTAGACTGGCAGCAACGAAAGAAATTCAAGAAAACTCTTTCCAGGAAATAAAATTTTTAAAATGTAACTTTCTGAAATTTTTTTGCTAAGGAACAATTATTTCGATTTCTTTTAATTTTTCCTTTGTAGTCCAAAAAATATTAAACTTCAGAAATTTTAACATTTTTTATACCAAGTTATTCAATTTTTTTGTTAATATTCAATTCTATGAAAGTATATGAAAATTTAATCATAAATTTAGAAGTTATTAATTTTTCCCTTTGCGTACGGTGCGCATACTGTACATGCAATCTTTATGTGCTGTACCATTGTAGTAGAACCTTTATCATAAAACAATTTATTTTTACTTATTTTCTAATGCTACAAAATTAAAATTTGAAATAAATACAAATAGCTGCAATATAGACTTTAAAATAAACAAAAATAAATTTAAAATGTCCAAATATTTATAAAATTCAATAATTTTGAAATAAGGATGACGGCATTTGAATTTTTTTGGTAACTGTATTTGACGTTTTGAATTTCTTAAATTATCTTTTTTGAGGAGTAATTGCACGGAAAGGTAGACTACAAATAAAACGTTTCGTTTTCTAAACAATAGTATTCGTTATCATCATAGTTGGCCAGACATCCCAATGTGAGCCAATGTCTTCCTTTGAAGATTTCTCCATGGCGACTTCAAATTAAATAACAGTATTACTTATATAAATTGGTGCCCATGTATCGTAAAGCGGTTAAGATTTAGTGGATTATATTAAGAAAGGTTAAGTTCTTATGTCTCGTATACTTTTACAAAATTTAATTCAAATATTTGGTATCGTATTCTTATTTATTTGAAAGCAAAATATGTATTCTAAATGCTAAATTTTTATTATTTACAAAAGTTTTTTAAATGACAATTATTTCTTAAAACTTTACTGAAAATTTATATTTTAGTGAAATTTAATTTAACACATTTTGGTCTAGCAAAATTAGATTTTTTTTCAATGGAAAAATGCATAAACTAGGTTTTTTTTCTTCACAGAAATAATAGTTTTTTAGTAATAAATGATTTACCTGAAAATTATATTACCTGAAATTATTAACTCCCCCTATTTTTTTAAAATATATACAATAGTTAATGTTCAGCCGACCCAATTTTGAGTCTATGACTACCAATTTTCAACTCCACAGCCTTGTAATTTTGAACCCAATCCAGAAGACAAGGGAACTCCTGGATTAAAGGATTTATTGAGGAAAATTTTGTCTTTGTGGAGGACTTCTTGAGGGAACTAACCCGCATTTACGCTTAATGGAGAGAAAAACCACGAAAGCCTCCCTTGGGTAGCCTGTCGTTAAGAGTGCTCTAACCCATTATCCGTCTACCACTGAGGATATTTTACAATGGCACTATGGTCGGTGTGAGCCGGGTGCGGAATTCGTATTGCCAAGCCATCGATGAGATCGAACCCAGGTCACCTCGTTGGGAGGCGAGTGCTCTATCCCTATTAAAAAAAAATATCTATTAAAAAATAAAAATAAAGAGAAAACTTGGTATTTTTTGAACGATACAAATTTCTTTCTGCCATAAATACTGAACTCTTAGCAATAAGAAAAAAAACTACTTAGACTGATAATCTCAATCTCAATATTATTGAAATAAAACTACTTTGAAAAAAGGTAGGATGACAACATAAAATCGTTATAACTTCTTAACTATCAGTCTCAGACCTGAAATCAATGATAAAACTTAGATTTAAAACAATGCTTTACTTAACTTTATAAAGGATATTCAATTTTAGAATTAAATACCACTAAAAGGGACAAGCCTACAACTGAGGGTAGGAAACTTTTCAGATTTCATTTATTATAAAATAGCAAAATTCTCTTATAGAAGGAGCACTTTTTTGCCATAATTACTTTACTATATATACTTGCCCTGATTACTTGATTAAGAGTTCAACTTATGAGTTCAACTTATTAAACAAAATTAAAGATACCTACTCTGAAATAAATGTATCTTACCTCTAAGAACATACAATGTGTTTAAGGCAAAAGTAATTTCCTGAAGTAATTTCTGACTTTTCGTCTGTGTATCATAATTATTTTCTACTACACAAATATTTAAAAGAAACGCGCCGGATATGCTGTGCAGATTATGATACAAATGTTCAAAAGATGATCGTTTGCATGCAGTAATTAGTTCTCAACAATTTCCGTTACTTTATCGCAACTTTGCCGACTTGATTTTTTTTGTGTTCCGCCCCTGTTTATACGAGCAGATTCTTAGAAAAAAAAAACGCCCCAACATTGGTGAGTTATTTTTAATTTAAAATTTGGCATAATTCGAAGTGGCATAAATTATCCAGGTATTTTCTGTTCACACCAATGATAAAATTCGCTTAAATTGATTCATTCGAAATCTGATTCAGAGGAGCCAAATTTTCTTGTTGTTGTCTTTTTTAACTTATTAAAATCCTTTTTACACTAATTTAATTTTTGAATCAAAAGTTTTGTACTACATTATGTAAAATTTAAGCAAACTTTAGACACAAAACGTTTAACGTGTAGCTTTGAACGTTTTAAGCAAAAAAAAAGTTTTTTTTAGTGTTTCCGAATAGCGTGTGTGCAAATAAAGTGTACAGTGCGCAAAGTGAAAAATGGATAACCTTGATAACTGTTGATCTAGTGCCCATATCCACATACTAAGATAGACTCTTAACGGAGATTTCCAAAACTATGCTATTGTTCTTGTACGCATGGTGTTTTAAGTTATAAAATCAGACACCATACCGTTTAAGTTATAAAATCAGACACAAAAGCGTACCGTCTTTGAACAAATAGAGCTTTTTTACAATGGTTTCGGGTTTTTGACCCTCAAATTATAGTGAGCAGCGGCAGACTGGAAAATATAGTCCTAATCGTTATACCAAGAGAACAGTCTTTTTATGAGAATTTACTTACAAAGAACAAAGTTTGAGCCTCTTAACTCGCTATGCGAAAATATGGTGAAGCATAGAAAATATGGTGGAGTAGAAAATTGTAGGATCAAAATATCGTGAGACATCATTTCACGCAGACAAAACGATCAGGAACAAAATTCTTATGGTCAAAAATACTACGAGAGAGATTCTTGCGCAAACAAAACCTTGTGGAACAGAATTCTACAGGGAAAAAAGTATCGAGGAGTAGAATCTTGTACTCACGAAATATCATGAAACCGAATCTTGCCTGGAAAAAAAAGCATGACACAGAAACTTCACAGATAATGGAACAAAATCACGGAACATTTATCGTGGAACATAATTAAAAAGTTGTACAGAATTGCACACACGAAACATCGTGAAACCGAATCTTGCCTGGAAAAAAAATCATGACACAGAAACTTCACAGATAATGGAACAAAATCACGGAACATTTATCGTGGAACATAATTAAAAAGTTGTACAGCTTTGCACACACGAAACATCGTGAAACCGAATACACACGAAACATCGCGAAACCAAATCTTGCCTGGAAAGAAAGTGAAATTTCTTAGACAAAACATCGTGGAACATAATTTCAATAGGAGCTGAGCAACACCTCCTAGAAGAAGGAGGTGTTGAGCAGAGCCGCTTTTAAGGATGGGTCCGAGCCCAGGGCCCCGAGTTCCGATGGAACCTCCGAAAAAGTCAAAAGTTTAAATTTTTGCTTTCGTTTTTTTAAATTTCGTTAAGTTTCGCAAAGTATTTCATGCCGCCTTCTTGCAACTGCTAGCAATGCATTCAGTTCTGAAAGTTGCTCAAACAATTGGTAACACTCTAATGTGCACATTTTAGGACATGAAAATATGTTTGAGCACAAATACGCTACAATTTTTTACTTCTTAAGAAAAAGAATGCTCTACAGATAGAGTTTTAACTAATAAGATGAACAACCAAATCATTTATTGGAAAAAAAATTTATTTCGAAGAATTGTAGAAGCGATAAAGTTCATAGCATCACGAAATCTTGCATTCCGTGGAGATGATCAAACAATTGGATCGCAGCGAATGGAAATTATTTGGGAACTTTGGAATTTTTTAGTAAACTTGACCCCCCCCATTTTCTTGCTGGACAAATAAGGGTAATGAACATACATCCTATTTATCAATTTCGATCTGTAATTAATCGAACCTGAATCGATTGCGGGATATAAAGTATAAAACGAAATAATTGCAGAACTAAAGAAAGCAAAATATTTTTCAGTAAGCATTGATTCAACATCAGACATTTCCTACGTAGATTTGCTGACATTTGTTATCCGATATGTGAACGACGGAATTCCTTTGGAACACCAGTGGTTTTTTTTGGATTTTATTCCATTTGAAAGGTATAAATCTGATACTTGTCTGATACTATTGTATCTTTTCCAAATGACCAAGGCTTAAATGTGATTGTCGAGGACAAACGTAAGATAACGCGCCGAATATGGCAGGCAAGTGCTCAGGTTTAAAAGCAAGGTTAAAGGAATGTCCCACGGCAATATTTTTTTTACCATGCCTAGCACATAGCTTAAACTTCATTCGTGCGCAAGCCGCGCGATACGTCTTAGAGGATTATTTCCAATTTTCACAGTTAACTTTTTTTTTTAATCTCAAGTTCTACCAATCGGTGGAATACCTTAACAGAATGCTTAGAATCCGGACTAGTCGTAAAGCGTCTATCGGATACTAGGTGGTCCACCCGTTTAGACGTAGTAACAGCACTGCAAAAAAGTTGCAGAAGAATTATGACCATTCTTCCAATTTTAGAAAAGAACAAATAAGAGCTTCTAAAAACTAGACTCGATGGTCGTGGTCATCTAAAGAAATTGAAGAAGTTGGAAAATATTGTGTTGACAGAATTTTGTCGTAGTAACAGCACTGCATTTTAGACGTAGTAATAGCACTGCAAAAAAGTTGCGGGAGAATTATGACCATTCTTCCAATTTTAGAAAAGAATAAAGAAGAGCTTCTGAAAACTAGACTCGATGGTCGTGGTCATCTAACGAAATTGAAGAAGTTGGAAAATATTGTATAGACAGAATTTTGTGGTGATATGTAATCAAGAATAAATAAAACTTCAATAAGCATACAGAAGAAAGGTCTTCCTTTTGATGATAGTCTCAAATTGATTGAATCCTTAATTGCTTTTGTGAGTGAACAGAGAGAAAAGTTCTTAACTTGTGGAGCCATCTCCAAGGAAAATGTACTTAATTTTTAATATGAAGATGAGACGACGCGTACTTCACCAAGGATTTCTCGTTTGATATTTTATTATGGAGATGCAGATGATGTTAGATTATAAGGTAGCGAAATATTCTAAGTTTAAGTTTACTTTTCAGTAATTGACGGATTGATTAGTCAATTAAAATCTCTTTCAATGTCACGTAAACCAATACAGAGAGATGCCAACTGCTCCAGATTCAACAAAATATTTTTAAAAACGGCAAAGAACTACAGACAAAAACTTACAGCTTTTCAGTTAATTTTGTCAATTTTTTAACAGGCTCAACATGGCTGATCTACAATAAATTGGTCTCTTACATAAACTTTCGAATTACTAAGAAGTAGTGGTGACTAAAAACCCTATAAATCCATTTTTTGACATCAAGAATCATAAAGTAAAAGACTACCACCCGAAAACATTGATCTGCTGTCCGGAGCAAGTTGGCCACTCTGCCAATAACTGATTTGTTCAGATTTATTTTTTCTTTTCAAATTTGAATTCCTTAAAGTTCAAGGAATTAATGCTTAACTGTTATAATTTTTGAAGATTTTATGACAATGATATGAATGAAAAAGAATTAGCTCTTTAATTAGAACATTTCAAGCATTATTTAGCCTAGGAGTATAAGTTAGACGAATTAGGAATGGATGAGATGTATACAATAGTAAAAAACAACAATCTCGAAGACACATTTCCATGCATTGACATTTCACTTCGAATTTTTTTGTCACTTATGATAACTAAATGTAGTTGCGCACTTTAATTCTCCAGAGTAAAATTAATAAAAGCTAAGAAATAGTATAGGAAAGAATAAATCATTTGTCTATGTTGAGTATTGAATATAATGTCTTGCGGGAAATTGACTTTAATGACGTAATAGAAGGAATCGACAAAATATCATGGTACAGTATCTCACTGTAACGAAATGAGTAACAATATTCTTATGGGTAAAAATATCATGAAACAGAATCTTGCACAAACAAAACTTTGTGGAACAGAATACAAAAAGGAAAAAATATCTAGGGGTAGATCTTAGAACACGCAATTCCGAATCATGCTCAGAAAAAAATTTGTGACACAGAACCTTCACAGAGTTAACATCATGGAACAAAATTTAAGAAGATAATTTATTAAGAACAGAATTTACAAAATATCATGGTACAGTATCTCACTCTAACAAAACGATGAGTAACAAAATTCTTGAGGACTAAAATATCATGAGGCAGAATCTTGCACAAACAAAACTTTGTGGAACAGAATACAAAAAGGAAAAAATATCGAGTGGTAGATCTTAGAACACGCAATTCCGAATCTTGCTCAGAAAAAAAATTGTGACACAGAACCTTCATAGACTTAACATCATGGAACAAAATTTCAAAAGAAGATAATTTATTAAGAACAGAATTTACAAAATATCATGGTACAGTATCTCACTCTAACAAAACGATGAGTAACAAAATTCTTGTGGACTAAAATATCATGAGGCAGAATCTTGCACAAACAAAACTTGATGGAACAGAATACAAAAAGGAAAAAATATCGAGAGGTAGATCTTAGAACACGCAAACCCGAATCTTGCCCAGAAAAAAATTTGTGACACAGAACCTTCACAGGCATTGTGGAACAAAATTTCAAAAGAAGATAATTTATTAAGAACAGAATTTACAAAATATCGTCTGGGTAGATAGTGTGGTAACAGAATATCACTGGACCTATTGCCAACTTATCTTTCCTTATATAGAATAAACTTTTCTTGGAATTTCGTAATAATTTCGAAATATTACTTCAGTTCATTAATTAAACTTTCTATTAACAGCAAAAACTTCAAGTTTCTATCAAACCGTGAAAGGAATATTTTTCTGATTTTTCTTTCTTTTTTCACTCATTTTTACTCGGCCTAAACAAGGTCGTTTGCAATAAGCGAGAGCGCAAGCTCGGGGTGCTCTCATGCGGAACTCCGAGGTCAGCCTTTTCGCTTTCTCTCAGCTGAACGAAAAATGAAAACAAAACAAATATTCGATCCGGGCAGACCCCTAGGCATCTGTTATAGCAGGAAGTAAATATCTTATCGAATGAATTGTCCGAGAAATCAAAGAAAAAAAAGCAAAACGTCATTCCATTTGTTAAGTTTTGAAATGTGATTGTGTCCACGTGTATTCGATTTGGAAGTGTTCTGTGTATTGTTTTTATTTCGAATGCAATTTGGAACTAACATCGTCTGCTCATGCGGTTCCATCTGCCCCAGGTAAGAACAAATTTTTGAATTATTAATTCTGGTTATAACTGAAAAAATTAGTGGAAGAACTTGTTAACCGAAATTTTAAAAACATTCCTTTTTCAAAAGTAAGAAAGCATTGTTTTTATCTTCTGTAGTTCTTAATAGACAACGCAGTTTCAGTGGAAAAAGATGCTTTGTTAAGTTATATGCTGTTTTCCATACATTTTGGAAACCATTTTCTTTTGAAATTCACTAAGCGTGTTCTACCATTTCGCTATAAATATAATAGAAGTTAATGTAGTTAAAATAATAATTTTATTTAACAAGTTTAGGTACTTATCAATTATAGCAGTGGTTCCCATTATGGTTTTTCGCAGTCACAGGGGTTCTACGAGTTAACATTTTTTAACCCTTTGCACTCCGATGTCCCACGGATGCCCCATCAACAGTCACGTCTTTAAAATTAAGAAATTTTATACCTTAATAAATAGTAACAACATTATTTTAAGAATTATGAAATTGTATAATAATACTATATTGTGTATTTTAAATGCTATAGTGCTGATATTAGATCAAACAGCTTTTAGAAGTACTTGGAGTGCAAAGGGTTAAATCAGTAATAATTTTTGAAACTTGTAAGTATGTTTGGATCAAAACAATGAACCATTATTTATTTGATAGTTCGGTTAATCTTTATGAAATTATGTAAGTAAAATGTCAGTAAAAAAATAGCAAAATGTATAAAAAAAACTGCATTAGTATTTTTCGTTGGACTTCTGAATTCAAAATAAAATTATCAAAATCAAGAATAACGAATTTCGTTTCGATGATAACTATTCTCTAAGTTTAAAGAAGTTCTCTTTCAAAAATCATAATTCTGCTTATTTCATTTATTTTCGGCTAGTGTAAACACCAAAAATATTCACCAAAACTAGGCTAGATACTGCTCTAGGCCTGCAGATTCAACTGTTTGGAACCTATTATTTTAAGAGCTGTATTGATAAAACGATTACTGAAGAAAAATTTCGTTCTTCTAATTTAATAACAGTGGATTGAAGAGCCGACCTTTTTTCGGATTTACGACTACAAGTGTTCAATTCCGAATATTTGTAATTTTGAACCCAATCCAGAAGACAAGGAACTCTTGGATCAAGTATTGTTAGAAATTTGCCTTCGTGGTGAACTTTTTTGATGGAACTAATCCGCATTCGCTTTACATGGTGAGGAAAACCACGAAAACCTCCCACAGTTAGCCCGATAGCAAGGGGATTCTAATCCCCATGATCCGTCTCTCACTGAGGATATTTTGCCTCAACACTGTGGTCGGTGCGAGCCGGGTGCGGAAATTGTATCTACCATTCTCAGCTGTGATTCCAACCGGTTCATCTCATTGGAATAAGGCAAACGCTTTATCCTCTGAGCCATTTCATTTCAACAAACTCTTCATTTTACTACAATAGATTACAACTTTTTGCTAGCAACATTAAAAAAAGGGGAAAAAAACGATTAAAACTTGCATTTTCATCAGACTCAAAACTCCAGTTGTGATTTGAGCTCTCTAGCTAGTTGGGAAGTTGTCAGAATTTTGGTGGACGATAAATTTTCTTCAGCGATCAAATAGCGATAGACGCTGCTTGTAGATGTCATGGAATTATTGAAGCTTGAATTGTCATCAAACATAGAACTCCAACAAAGATTTGAGTGCTGTAGCTAGTTAGAAAGTTATGGGAACATCGAATGCAATATTTCACACTCACGAACATAAAAAAGAGTAAATAAAAATGTACTAAAACTCGTGGATTTTAAACTTTTTCTGGTACTTTTTAAACTATCTTTTTCCTTGTCAGGGGTTGTTGTCCTATTTTTACCGTTGCTTCTGAACATTTAATTTTGTTTTCTGTCGATAAATAAGACACGTTTCGCCTAGCTGTCACTTTTATTGGTTTCTTCTTACCCTGTTACTCTATCTTCCAGAAAAGAGCGTCAACATTACCTTCCACGAAAATGATTTGTAAACAAAAGAACGAATATTGATTGTCCCCAGAAGCTATTTGTACTCGTGGATACATAAATGCACGCTATGTTCATAAATATCTATTCAAATCAATCAGAATTGCCACAAACTCTGCTTTCTTCTAACCGTTAAGACAGCATTATCAAAAAACACTTCTTTTGTGTTTCGATATTTTTCACAACAATGACTTCTCAGTAGCATTTGTTGTGGGAAAAAAATTTAAAGTTTTGATCTTACTTTCTTTTATTTAACATTTTTCTACAAAATGAGAATACAATATCATCTATACATAAAACGTTCTTATCGATTTAATAACAATACATCAGAGTTTAAAAAATATATGAAAATTGATTGCTTGAAAAATATATGCCCTGCCGAGCATGTTAGTTTACAAAGTAAGAGCCCGATCATCTTTATCCGATGCATATCAATAAAAACATATGAAAATGCCTGTTATTAATTTGTCGGAAAAAAATTAAGTAACATATTTACAGCAATGCTCTTAATATAAATAAAAGTATAAATATAAAGCATAAATAAAGTTTTAAGTATAAATACGTACAAATAAGGAGAAATTAAAAAAGAAGATTGAGGTATAATTATAAAGATATGTTTAGTGCGAAGGAATATTAATGACGAATAAGCATTAATGGAGTTATTTTGCGCTGGTTTGTCGATTTACTCGAATAATCATGATGGAGTAAATGCTGAACATTATTATTTGCAAAAAAAGTAAGTTTTTTTTTGTCCTATGTGATTTTTGATACAATTTTGATGGGAGCTTAATCGTTTTTTACGCTATCTGATTAAATATTGACATGCCCGATTTAATGCAAACCTTGCATTACACAAAGAAACAAGCGAAGATATTTTATAATTAACATTTAGCAGTATATGACAGCATGTATTCAATTGGATTCATAAAATGACTCAAAATGGTTTTAAAGAGCGAATAAAAAGTTTCTTGGAATTTAGAACTAACTAAATCAGAATGATTAATATTGGTGTAGCGAGAACAGAGAAGGAGACGCACAATTGAATAAAGCGAACTTCCGATAACGTACCTCTTTTGCCATGGCCTCCGTGGTCACCAGATTTCTCAGTGCAGCATTTTTTGTGGGGCTATGGAAAAGACTTAACTTTTTTTACCCTTTTTGCTTAATCTGGTTGTAATTTTACTATCGCGTTTATGGATGCCGTTACCAAGGATTCACACAAATAGCACCTTGTAAATAAAACCTAATTGTTTTTCTATTTAGTGCTATTCTTACCCATATACTCTGTTTTTCTATTGTTACCTTTGACGTATCGGACGGAATTATGAATACTTCTGTATGTTATTTTTGCAGAACGTTCCGTACAAATGGGTCTCACCATACATTTTAAAAATCATTGCTAAAACTGCGTCAAAAAAATATGCACGTTGCGGCTCGCAATTTTTTCTTATCAAATTCTGACGAATCATTTTTTAAGATTTAGGGATAAAAAGAGTATTAAATCCTTTTGAATTGCTGGAGGAACTTAAAAGTGAGAAGAGGTAAACGGCAAATCACAAGAACAACTATCAAATTTCTGTGGTAATAAAAAATATATAAAATAAAATTAAAATAAAAAAATTTAAAAAATTCCTGCTATTGTATTTCAAATTCCTCCACTATAGTATTTCAAATTCGTATTGCATGATTCTTCTATACTCTCTAATGAAAGATTTCAGCCTTGCTTCTCCAATTCCTCCTAGAAAAGAGAAGACCTCAAAACGGGGTACCATAAACAAGAAATTTGATCCTTTAGTAGTCCAAACGTAATGACATCATCCGTATTTACCACCATTGTGCAGCTTAGTAGTCCAAACATAATGACATATTTCTTATTTGCACCCACTCCGCAGTTTATGTTCGTTACGTCGGATTACTAAACTGATCCGAGCTGAAGCAACACCTCCTAGAAGAAGGAAGGCCTCAGCACGGACCGCTTTAGTAGTCCAATCTAACGAAGATAACTGCGCAGTAGATGAAAAATAAGAAAGATGTCATTTCGTTTGGACTACTAAAGGATATTTATGGTAACCCGTGCTGAGGCCTGCTCTTATCTAGGAGGTGTTGGCTGAGGCCTTCCTTCGTTTAGGAGGCATAAGCACGTCCCCTATTATGTGGCGACCAGGTGAACACCAGCTCTCTTTCTGCCCGGCCCTAACGAAATAATCTATATCGCTTTCCGTTATTGCGAAGATAGGCAACTTTTATAAAATTTTATAGTGCTTTTCTCCTGCAGTGTTTCCTTTTATTGTTGACTTTATTTTGTTTGTAATTTGCTTTATTTCTGTTTGCGTATCTTCTCATTGGCGAAAGAACTGAGTTCATTTTTAATCTCACTGCTGGATTGGAAAAAGGGCAAAATATTTTTTAAATACAAAAGTTTCTTTTAAGTAACTAAAGAGATATGGCCAAATACGCAAAAAGTGAAATTAACATTAAGGGCTCAAACTTTCTATCGCTTTCTTGATTAAACTATTGAGACCATACTTTCGAATTTGCGACTATAATATCTCTCCTCTCCATATCTTGAAGGTGCAAAATGTTGAAAAAGTATATTTATTCTGATTGCGTACGTTTTTGTGCCTGATTTCATCACTGAAAATATCATTTATATCGGACTCCCCTCCCTTTCTTGTTTAGAAAGTGGGGGGGGGGGATTCTAGAGTGTGGGCATTCTAGAGTGGACAAGCTAATTTAATTCCGAAACCCCCTTAAAGCTAACTTATTCCTTTTGAATCTCTTTAAAGCTTACTTAGTTCCAAAATCACTGTAAAACTAACTTATTTCCCTCGAATCCTTTAAAACTAACTTATTTATAAAACCCCTTTAAAGCTAACTTATCTTTGGAATAACAAGTTAGTTTTTATAAGTTTACTCGTTGACAATAGATGAAGATTGTCTCGCCTTTATTTCTTGTTCGCAAACTTCAAATAGCGAATAATTTATGACATCCCTCATACTACTCATTTAAACTGTTC